ATAAAACACTTTCCCAAAATAATTCAGCTTTATTCTTATGCTCACGAACAAATTTTAACAGGACATCCATATATTTCTTCAATAGTAGTGGAGTTTTTCTTGGAGAACACGATCTTAGTTGACGTCTATGAAGCACATTACTTATTGTTCGCTTCATAATAATAATAATAATAACACCTGATGCTTTTAATTCTTCCTGTATTTCTTTCCGCGTAGTCATTTGATTTTCTTGAATTTTGCGCTGAATTCTTCTCATTAATCTGGGAGAAATCTTGCATGGTGCACCAGATTTCGATTCGTTCTCAACAGTTTTATACTTAGCAATAACGGAACTAATAAATGGTATATTCAGGATATCTGCTATTTTCCTGTAGCTTTTGTCTTCCTTCCAATGTTTGATGATCAATTCTTTTTATGAATTTGACAGTTCCTTGCCTTTTCCCCCATGATGATAATTATTCTGTATGATTTGTGGACGGAGATAACCTTAAATAAGAAATGAATTACGGAATGTTCTAGATTGTTCCATTAATAAGATTATTGGAAGAATCTAGCAAAATCTTACAAAGAGTTATGTAAATAAAGGTAATTTAAGCCTTTTGATATTAAAAACATATTTTGTACTAATACTTTTTTCGCCTCGAAATTTTATAAATAAGACATAATTTCATTTATAACAAAGTTTTCTAAAAGTTTCTTGAATATTGAAATATTATACGGATTTTAAGTTTTTTTTTAAAGTTATAAGTATGTTAATTAAAAAGTCTCATGCTGTACGAATATTAATATATATATATATATATATATATATATATATATATATATATATATATATATATATACACACACACACACACACACACATATATATATATATATATATATATATATATATATATATATATATATATATACATATATATATATATTACGAATTGCCAGGAATTTAATAATGTATGAATAACAACTTTATCGAATGAAGCAAGGATTTTTTTAAACTTCCGTGAGTGACGTAAATAAAAAAAAAACACGAGGATGTGCCGAATTATGATTTTTGTTTGCTAATCAAATATTAGTCGATTCCAAGCAATCCCCAAAGTGACAGCGGGGTTTAGTGCCATAACATAGAAATAGGAAAAATATCATGCTACTTTGAAATTAGAACAAAATAAAGGCAAAGTGAAAAACAAATCTTGTTTTTACGACTACATTGTCATTAAAAAAAAAAGCCACAAGAAAAGCGTTATTAACTATTTTGATGATAATATCTTTTCATAGGCACAAAAATGATAAAATATCTGAGTAAATTAAGTCATTTATACGTCATAGATTATTGATACCTTGTTCGTTCAGTCTCAAATATTTAATAATGAAAAAACTCTTTTATTTAAAAACAACATATATTTATTTTTTTAACATAAACACTTTTGTCAATGCATTTTTTAATCTCGTTGTAAAGATTAATCATGGATCGAAAAGGAAAGTAAAAACATCAAAATTCAGTTAATAATTACGTGCCAGACTACGTATATATATATATATATATATATATATATATATATATATATATATATATATATATATTGATAGAGAAGTATATACGTAATTCGGTTTATGTTTGTATTTGTGTGTGTGTGTGCAAATTTTAAATTTATTATTTATTTCTAACTAAAATCTGGTGCAGTAATTATTGAAAATTTGAAATCTGAAAGTTATGATTACCGTTCGTTCCGAGTTCAGTAGTATAATAGATTTTATATCCGAGTATTATCGGAATATGTATGATAATTATGATATCTGATAATAATTTAAGAGATTTATCGAACATTTGGCCCTGATGAGCGTTTCAACGCGAAGCATTTGAGTCGATCAATCACGCAAGTTATTTGAACTTTTTGTGATTTATTGAATATATATATATATATATATATATATATATATATATATATATGTATGTATGTATATATATATAAATTAACTGATTTAAAATTATGGTTCCTTTGCTGCACAGGAAGTTAATTTATAATATTTATGCTCTGTAAATTTACATTAAGCACTGTTGAGTAAAAATAAAAATATCAATAAGAACACCGGATAATATATATGTATATATTCTAAAGTAAGTAATGCATTTTTATTAAAGCAACAGATTGCTTATCACTTTAAACGTTATTCTTAGTGGATACTCGTATTTGAGTAAACGCTCCGTTTAATTATTAAACAGTATATTTATTTATTTTCGTCTACCGGCCTGGGCAGAGGGATATATATATATATATATATATATATATATATATATATATATATATATATATATATATATATATATATATATATAGTTTGTGACTTAGTCGATTGATGTTACCTTCAGCATCCCGATTTCGAAGTTTAGTAGGCGGACTTGTCTGTCCACTTATTATCATGGGGTATCAGCAATTTACACCAGCATTTTACATTAGAGATAGATAGATAGATAGAGAGAGAGAGAGAGAGAGAGAGAGTTAGAGAGAGAGAGAGAGAGAAATACTCTCATATATACACATATATATATAAATAAAGTCCCCAACTAAAACTTTTTATTTTATTTACCTCTTCACTGTTAATAGTTTAATTCTTTTAACATTAAAACTTTTATTTGCAAAATCTGCTCGCCTTAAACGCATTATCTTTTAATGTTTTTTTTTTTTTGTTAGGTGTAAACAATCTTTTTATTATTATTACTATATATATATATATATATATATATATATATATATATATATATATATATATTAAAAAGAGGTAGCTATATATATATATATATATATATATATACTTCAATAAAGAGATGACTAGCTAGATAGATAGACATGCTTGCACTTTTATTTCAATAGCTTTTCAAATATCATTCTGAAATTAACTACAGTTTTGATTCTAATATACAACAACATATGAAAATTGAAAAAAAACAAAAGAAAATTAAGTAGATAGATAATTTTTTAATTGTGTACCTGGTTATATAGTTGCACCAATTTTGTATAGTTTCTTTTTGCTTATGTTTTTATCAATGTTGTTCTTAAATATCTAACATTGCGATGATAGAAGATTTGCCAAGAAAGGTGAAATATTTTAAGAACCTGGACGCAAATTTAATGTGAGTGATCTAGCGATTAAAGCACTTTCTATACACTTTCGTTTTAGTAAATTACTTTCACTTTTAATTAAAGTAGTATTTTTCAAATCATACGAAACGCGTCATATTCTATCGATATGACTTCGATCTTTATAAGAAGCGCAAACACAAATAATTATCCATCTCTTTATTTGTTTAAAATGTTTACTGACATTCAAAATATTTTAAAAACAGTTTTTACGGATAGATTTTGATATGTCTCCATGTGTATTTAAATGAGACTTAACTGAATTGTAACGTGAGTCTTCTTGCTACGCTTGTTGTAGTGTATCCAATATAATTATTTACGAATTTTCACTTAGAAACATCATGAAGAAATACACAACTCTAGTCGACAAAAACAAGAAAATTAAATTATCTATTATAAAAAATTTAAAACCGCTAACTTCATTGTCAAAAATAATAATTCACCTGCAAAATCCAAATTAGAGAGAACTAATATTATTTACAAATTTACATAACCCTTAAGGAACTGTGTTCTTGACTAATACAAATTCGTAAATAATTATATTGGCTATACTACAACATGCTTATCAAGAAGACTCACGTTACAACTCTCTGACCATAAGTCAATTAGGTCTCATTTAAATACACATGGAGAGACTTACCGAACTCTATCTGTAACATACTCGTTGATAATGCAAATATAATAGCCTCATCCATATGTAAAAAAAAAGCTTAAAATAGTGGAAGCATTATTAATAAAGAAAAAAAAAAAAAAAGCCAACACTCAGCATAAACACGGCCACAATGTGCTGACCGTGTTTGGAAAATAAAACATTCCTATAATTTTAGATACATACATAAAACAATCCATGTATTCAGTTAAAAGTAAAATAAAATTCATCCTTGATTATAGCTAAACGTATAGCCGAAAGCGCTTGGATATTTAAAACATTCGGATAATTTTTATATAATTTATTTACCGAAAAGAAAAAAATTATAACACATGAAAATTTATATAAAAAACTTGACGTTTTTAACGAAACTGGCATAAAAGAGGGATTGCTGTTCAAATGTACAATTACACACACTCTCTCTCTCTCTCTCACACACACACACACACACACACACACGCACACACACAGGCATATATATTTATATATATATAACCATTAGATATTAGTAATTATTGTAATGTATGATAAAAAAAAATGTGGTGAATTTAACAACACTGAAGAAAATTACTCTATTTGTTGGACATTCAAGACACTTTTTATATATATTAGCGCTGTTTTAATCCACACAACATTCTTTAAATTGAAATTATGGTCAGATTTATTACGAGGAATGTCGAATGTACTGAGTGTATTGCTTTGTAAAAGATCTTTTTTGTGTTGAACACAAAAGAGATCTAAAGGGATGTAAAGGCGCTCTTATATGCCATCAAATGGAGTATATAAAATTTTAATAAATAGATAAATAGCAATAATATTGGTGATGATTATATAATACTTCAGAAATAAACACATTTAAAAACAAAATCTTATTGACAGAGCAAAATATTATGGTGCTTTGATGGAAATAAAATGTCTTATTAAATTTAGCCATGTGTGGCGACGAAACAAAAGGAGACACTTTTGATTGAATTTTTTATGGTTTATCAACCTTTTGCAGATTATTTAAAGACAGAATTTTTTTAGATTGTAAGCATTTGGGGGTGGAGATAATAATGATTTACTGATAGAAATCCTACTATTTAATCCCTAGCTGGAGGGGAGAGAAGAGATGAATTCATAGTTTTCCCAAGGGCATGTACGCGTAAGTGAATATAACGAACGATTTCCAATTCCGAGCCATTATCCATTACACCACCTTCGCATCTAAGCTTACAGCCCCTGGTATTCTCAAGCGGTCACTCATTTAGGATACAGACCAGGTTCGACATTGCTTAACTTCGGTGGTCGTACGGGAACCGATGTTTCAACGCGATATGGTGGTAAAAAAGTAATGATGAAATGTGATATTTCTTGAGGTAACAAATTTTCTAATTCTTTTTAGTTTTTCGTGTATTTTTTTATGCTTAATAAATTATATATTTTTCATATATTTTTAAACTGAATTTCGAAGGCAGTATTTTAGGAGATTTCAAATATCAAAAGTAAAATTACTTCCATCTGAGAAGCATACACTAATTTGAGAGAAATGAAAGGAATTACCTTTCATACAGACGCATCTTCGGTTTGTTGTTCCAACGGATACAACACATTTTAGTTTATATACTAAGAAGAAACTAAATATTAAAAGAACAAACAATGCCAATCAAGGTGTCCGTTCTTTATATTTAGTTTCAATAGAAAGCTTCGAGAATAAATGTCATAAAGCAATGTTGTTGATATTTCGATTTTTATCTTTTTTACAAAAAAATTAGATTTTTAATTTTTTTTGTTATGATACGAAATTTTGTCAATTCGCTAAATATTCTGTTTTCCAAAAGTCGGTTTAATAATGTATCGTAATTATGGTTTTGAATTTAATTGAATAGTAGGGATGATGTTAAACTTGATAAAAATGTTGGGGTGTAAATTCAAATTGAAACACAAAATGACTGGCTTCGTAAACATTTTTATTCATATACTGTGTGTGTATGTGTGTCAATCCATCAATCCAACTATATATATATATATATATATATATATATATATATATATATATATATATATATATATATATATATAGTTTATGAAAAACTCGGTAATCCGTATGGGTAGACCCAAGGAGGATATATATATATATATATATATATATATATATATATATATATATATATATCGCACGCGCTATTATTTCTTTCTAACTTTCTTTTGTTCTTTCTTTCTTTCTTTCTTTCTTTTTATCTATCTCAAAATAATTCTCGAAAATTCACCCTGCTTCTTATAGACTGAAGATTACTTTCTTATTTTATATTTATTCATTTTTTTTCTAAATTGTGGAAACCAAAATTGCATGTTGCTTTCTAGGTTGATATGTATTGAGAAAAAGTGTATTTTAACAGAAAGTGACGATGAAGAAAAATAAAAGAAAAACGAATCAAAATTATCAATGAAAATACTTTCATCTAAAACAGTGACATAATTTAAGATTTGAACAATACATTATAAATATTCTTTTTCTACTCAACGCTTCCATCTTTTGAATCTAAGCCAATAAAATTTTGATGCATCCCTATAACAAATAGCCATGTTTTTTTTTATTATTTAACTGTAGGAAAAAACGTTTTAAAAAACTCGAGAGAGAGAGACTGTAATTTAATGAGCAGGATTTTTCACTTCGTTAAACAAGATTACCAAGTATTATTTGTAATCGTTTTATTAGTATATTGATATACCCAGACCCATCGCCAAGGGGTGGGGTACTGCCCCTACTCACAAAATCATTTGGCACTCCCTTTGAAAATGATGTGAACTAATTTTAATGTGTAAATTCTTCCTCGCAGCAGCATTCCCAACTTAAAGGCCACCCTCACCACATACTCAGAACACTTTGACGACGGACCTGGATATATCACATCAATAACTAGCCGACAAAGAACTTTGCGTTTGTTTATATATCCTCAATAGACCTCCAGTCGATATTTCAATTGTGTATATATATATATATATATATATATATATATATATATATATATATATATACTAGTAACTATACTCGTTTGGCGAAAAAACCCGGATGACATAATTCGAAAATATAAATATATCAAAACAAATTGTTATCTGGGAAAAAAATGCCAAAAAAAAAAAAAAAAAAGAAAGAAAGAACTAGAAACATCCGAACAGAGTAACAAAAATCGTTCAGTGCCTTAAATTTCCAGTCCAAAGAAGAAAAAAAACCTTAATGGAGTAACTAAGATAAAACGTAAAGTGCTCAATACACTAAGTAGAGCAAATAAATAAAATAATTACTAAAGAGCCAGGAACTACCTACCTAGGTTTCACCTAAATGGTTCTTCAGGGTGAACTGGAGCCAATTCACCCTGAAGATCCATTTAGGTGAAACCTAGGTAGGTAGTTCCTGGCTCTTTAGTAATTATTAAATATATATTATATATATATATATATATATATATATATATATATATATATATATACCTTTGGGAAAGGTGTGAATCCACTTCTTCTCCCTCCAGCTATGGGTAAAAGGCAGGACAGACTGGGTTCTATAGCCTTGGATGGTAACTGGTCTAGGAGAAGGACAACTCTGAATTTAAAACCTGCGGAGGGTCGTTTGGGGACCTTGTGACACGTAGTGCACCAGGTCTCTGTATTCGGCCCTTCAAAAAGTGTGGATGGTCCTGCACGAAACCTTCACCACTATAATGAAATCTCATGTGCTGTTGTCGGGCCATCAGTTTCCTAGAACTGATCTGCTTGACCCTCATACGTCGAATTCGACGGAGAGTCGATATATATATATATATATATATATATATATATATATATATATATATATATATATGACAGGAGTCTAATTGTCTTCTATAAACCAATCAGATACAAATTATAAACCAATTAGATTCAAATTATTCCATTATAGATCGTCAGTTTACAATACTAGATTCTTTATGGCACATTTTGGGACAATGAAGGATACTCAGCAGTGACTATCTTCCCAAGTAACATGAATCGGGATATAATAAGTTAAAATAGAGAGCAATGTATTTGAAGGTGTATTTGAAGCTGGCCCAATTTATATTTAATATTACAGTATTATGGAGTTAGGCTAGGATGTAAGTTGGAGATTAATTGATATCGGCTGGGAAAGAGAAATCGAAGAATCGTGATCGAATTCCAGTCGGGTTCATTTTTAAGCAAATACTCTTGGGAAAGGCATTTATTCATCTCTTCTCCTTCCAACTATTTGTTGAATAGCAGGTCAGACTGGGTTCTTTAGCCTTGGTTGTCAACCAGTTTACCGCAGAAAGAAACGGCAACCTACTGCGGGAAAATCTTCTGCCTTGTCGGCCATTAATCGAAAGAGACAGCAAGTATCACGTATGACAATTAACTGTCTGACTCAATAGATACAAAAAAAAGTGTCGGTAGACATTGACCTGCCGGAACCATCAGCTTCGCATGTAAAGTCCTAGTGATATTTTTTTAGACATTTGGAGAAGAAAAAAGGGGGTTTATATATGTCTTCAAATTCAATAATCCCAGATCTGCTCTGTTGGGAGAGATAGATTGATACATTTCCTAAAAGCATTAGTAGGAAATGAACAGAATTTGAACCCGGCTCAGCAATTCAATTTGCTGTGTTGCTAACCATTATTTTAGCCGGCACCTTCTCCTATAAACCAATAACTGATCATTGCAATAATTAGCAACGATGTAAATGTGATTTGGTTAGCAGACCAATGTTGTTATACACTGATTCAACGTTTAAATAACTACTATGCAATAAAATAAAATCCATTATTATTTCCACATGAGATATTATCACATGAATTATTATCACATCGGCTATCACATGAAATATTAACGCATAAGATATCAAAAGAAATATCACATGAAATATTATCACATGATATATCACGAGTTATTATTACATCAGGTATCACATGAAATATTATTGCATGAGATATTATTATATTACTTATAGTGAAATGATAAAAAAAATCCATTTTATCCAGAATACAAAAGATTGCGTTAATGAGTACTGCTCACATATTTAGGAAAACTCTTTCACGCCAATATGTGTGTGTATATACATACATACATATATATATATATATATATATATATATATATATAGATAGATAGATAGATAGATAGATAGATGAATGATAGACAATATTAGTGGTCAATATATATATATATATATATATTCCCAAGAGGATAGAATCCAGGAAGAACTCAATGACCAGAACAGAGTAAGAATATAATATAAAAGGCTTAAACACTAATATTCCATGGTTATAATTTATTATATTGGAATCGTAATCACGATCCAATTCATCAGACCTACAAATTCAAAAAATTTTTTTTTGAATTTGTAGGTCTGATGATTTGGATCGTGATTACGATTCCAATGTAATAAATTATAACCATGGAATATTAGTGTTTGAGCCTTTATATTATATAAATTTCAAGAAATAGTTATTCCCCAAAAATTTCGCTTGAAGATGGAACAGAGCTTGGTACTTTAATTCAATTTAATTCAAATAATTATATTGAAGTTTTTCAGCTCTTGTTTTGAAACATGAGAACTCTTATGTAGCAATGGAATCATAATTATATATATATATATATATATATATATATATATATATATATATATATATATATATATATATATATATATTCTCTCACGATTCTCTAAACATCCATATCTGTTCTGTATGGTATCAAAATGTAAACAAACAATTTATTTTTAGGAAATGGATTAAATCCGACGTATTGCTATTTTCATTGATTTTGTTTAAACACTATTTTTGATGAATACTCATGCTCGAGTATTTTAATTAAAAAGTATTTTTTATATTAAACAATATTTTTAGCCAACTATACCTACCGGCCTGAATATTCGAGAAATGTGGACGCATATTCTGGCAGTATATATATATATATATATATATATATATATATATATATATATATATATATATATATACATATATATATATAAACACACGGAAACCTACCAAACTTGATTCGCAACATACTCATAGATAATACAAATATAATAACCTGATCTACATGTAAAAAAAGGCTAAAATCATGGAAGTATTGTTAATAAATAAAAAAGCCAACATTCAGTAACATCACCTATGAACACTGCCATAATGTGCTGATCGTGTTTGTATAATAAAAATATTCTTATAGCTCTATATATATGCATAAAAAATCAATACATTCAGTTAAAAGTAAAAATAAAATCACCTTTGATAATGGCTAAAGGTGTAACCGAAGGCTATCGGACATACAGAACATTCGGACAAT